CACTTTTATTCAATATTCTTTTGCAAAATATATTAAACCTATATTTAATAGAACCCGATCATATTCCTAGTCCAAATTCGTATTCACAGAAATTATCACACATGATTGCACATGTTATAGATATTATTCATAATATCATTATCAATGTGTTGATTTTGTCGCATTCTAAATTTATTGTGAGTATTAGGCAACTTATCATCTAGTTGATGACTAAGCAATCAAATAGTTCAATAGGAATGCAAAACTAGTCAAGAAATACTAAACTAATTATCTTAAATTAGAATAAACAAACAATAGATTTATCATTTATCGATCACCATGAAAAATTTAGCTTAACATTCTAATAATTAAATTACACAAGAATAATTGGAAAAACATCGCCTTGAATTAAGAAATATGAGAAATCTACGTTCTTAGCTCAAATCTTGAAATCGGGCTATGAATCTTCAAAATCTTCGTATTATTCGCTTTGAATTGATGTATAGACTTGTTCTCCACCTCAAAAAATATAGAATGTGATGAAATTTAGGTAGAATGGAGGTTCATTGTGTTCTGGTCAGGTTTTGATATTTAAAATATGCCAAAAAGATTGCATATAATTGTTATAAAAAAAATCAATTTTTTTCCGTCTTTATACTGAGGTGCATGCTTAGGCATAACAAGGGAGCGTGCCTAGCTGGTTTAGGTGCCTCAATCGCTTCATTTTTTGTTTGGGCATACGCCTATCCTACAGGCTAGGCGCACACACCTAGCCTAATTTTCGATAGTAAAAAACCTTTAATATTTTTTTCAGAACTTTCTCTCCAGATATCCAATGGAGGTGATTCAAAGTGCGTATCATTTTTTCAATTCGAACGTTTGCTATGCTAAAATGGGGTCTCAATATGATGGTGACAATTCGAAGCATAATTTTTCTGCTGAAAGTTAATGTGATGATATTTCAACTATATTTCATCAATTTGTCTTATTTCCTCATCCAAACAACTTTTGAATATTTAAACTTTAGTCCCCGAACTTTAAGTTTGCTTCATTTTAGTCCTTTTCCATTCTTTCTTCTAATTCTTCACCCAAAAATGAATTTTTTTTCCCAAATAAAAGTAATAAAAAATGTTGTGCTTCAATCCAAAAATCGAAATATCATATTGCTTGCACTTTACCTGCCACAATGAAAATTTTATGTTGCGATCCAAAATCGAAATATTATACTTCATGGTTGCCATCACAAAAAATCAAGCTGAGCTCTTAACTTGATCAAGACCTTAATCTCCCATGAGTTTTTCAAGCCTTTAGCTCTGTTACCAGTTTGTTAAAAACTGAAGATGATATCAGATTGTACTTATACCAACTTATTGAAAAATATGAGATTTTAGGCACAATATAAAGTAATTGATCACAAATGCTCATGAACAATGCAATTTGCAGATTAAAGAAATTTCACTAAAATATGGAGAAAAAATACAAAAATTTTGTGTTTATAGATAATGGCTAACTTAATCTAAAATACAATGAAGAGCTAAATATATATAGGAGATGTTTCAAACTCCATAAGTAGAGTTATAAATGAAAATGAATGCTCAAAATGCATTAAAAGGCAAAAATGGGTTTGGGCTGGATGAGCCGTCGCTCGAGTGCCAATTTAGCACCAAGCAGACACAAGCTCTCTGCACAAAATTTTGACAACGTCGCTTGACGAGCTAACCAAAAAACGTTGAGAATTCCTTCATGGTCCATATCTTGATATTTTCAAGTCCAACACAAATTTCAACTCCTAATTAACTTCCAAATAGAATTTCAACTAGAATTTGTTAAATAGACTTCAAATAGAATTCCAAATAATCTTTCAAATAGAATTCAGGTTATACCCGAATTTTAAAAACTAGAAATGTCAACAAACGATAGTAACTTTAAACCGTGTTTGGCAATGTTTTAGTTAGATTAGGGGTCTGTTTGATTTTCATTCTTTGGTCACAAAAAATAAAAATATGACAGTTATACATTACATTAAGTCGTCATATTTGACTTTCTATCTCTTGTGTAAATCCTATAACGACTATATTTTTTATTCTCATTTTTAAAAAAATGGGAATCAAACGGGCTTTAGATATTGAATTTACAAAAAGTGGTAATCATAATCACGAGAGATAAAAAGTAGGTAAAATAGTAGATATCAAGAAATATGTGAATACAGATAGGGTTTAACCAACTTATAAATAATTATAAACGTTGCCAAACATGTAATTTTTTTAAATTGCTAAATTGTATTGCTTTTCAAAGTTTAGACTAGCATTTTTCAAATTATTTTACTCAACAGGAAAAATAAGATACCAAAACCACGGCACTCACCACCATGTGCCTCAAATCTCCGCCATTTATCTCAGTTGCCACCACCTTTTTCTTATTGGTCTTTTACTGAAAACTTGCTGAAATTCTGCAAATCGCCTTCTGTTTACTCCCTCACCTCCTTGCGTGTTTCTAAATGAATCGTCTTCTCTTTCTTCTTCTTTTCGCTCTCTCTATCTTCTCGGGTACAGATTACTCAGAACTCAACTTATTTTTTGTTAAATATTTGTTGTAATTTGATTTAATTGTGATTTCAATGTATAATTTCTTGTTGATTTTGAACACAGAGGCGCAATCGACGACGTTTAAGATAGTGAATAAGTGCCGCCACACAGTATGGCCCGGAATACTAACTGGCGCCGACAGGCCAGTGCTCAATCCTACTGGTTTCGTTCTCAAGAGCGGCAAATCAAGGACTCTCCAAGTACCCAGGTCCTGGTCGGGTCGGCTTTGGGGAAGGACCCACTGTTCTGGTGATCCCGCATCCGGGAAATTCACTTGCGCTACAGCTGACTGTGGCTCCGGCGAGGTGGAGTGTGCCGGCGCTGGCGCCATACCTCCCGCCACGCTTGCGGAATTCACTCTCAACGGTGACCAAGGTCTCGACTTTTATGATGTCAGCCTCGTCGATGGGTACAACGTGCCTATGCTGATTGTGGCCAAGGGAGGTACAAGAGGGGGATGCAGCGCTACTGGGTGCCTGATAGATCTGAACGGCGCCTGTCCGAGGGAGCTCAGTGTGTTCCGTGCGAATGGGAGCCGGACCCACGGCGTCGCGTGCAAGAGCGCGTGCGAGGCTTTTGGTGATCCGGCCTACTGCTGCAGCGAGGCATACAATACGCCGGATACTTGTCAACCCTCAGCCTACTCGCTCTACTTTAAGCACGCATGCCCCCGCTCGTACAGCTACGCCTATGATGATAAGACCAGCACGTTCACCTGTGCCTCCGCGGACTACTTTATCATCTTCTGCCCACTGCCATACACCAGGTAAATTTTCTGTCAAACTCTAGTCATACTTGTATGTTCTCCGAACTGTCTAAGCTGCTGCAGAGCTAATCTTAACCTTGATTGTGCTGGTGGTTCTAGTTCTTGGACACCATGTTTCACCGTGCTAGTTACGTGGGGGCAAACTTTGTTCGTTTATTTTTTTTCTCAATTTCCACTGGCAACTTTTATCGATTTTTTGTTTACATGTCTCCAATCAATGTAGTTAAATTTATTGTGCTACCTGTTTGTTCTAAAATAACATCCACCCAATATACGAGAGCCTCTGTAGCCCCCACTTCATTGTTAGTCTTGTTAATTTATAGTTGATCATGCCAGTGGATCTAACACTTGGACGATGATGTTTCACCGCACTAGTTATGTAGGGGCAATTTATTGTTTGTCTGGAGAGCAGGTGTTGCTGCCACTACATTGTTAGTTTTCATGCAAAATATCTATGTTTATGCGGTAGATGCTATGCTAGTTCCATGCCAAGATAGGTATATCAGATTCCTTAATAACGCTGAAATGTTAAAATTGCATAGGAGTTTATTTCATGGTTGAATTTGCACGACAAATTTTCTTAGAATGAATTTGATTTGACTTCTCCATGTTAGTTGGAGATCAACACTAGTGTACAACCATAATGGACTTTTTCCTACCAACACCAGCCATAATATATAGAGATTTTTTTGCCCTGGAGTTTCAGATGTATTCACATATTTCTATTTTGGCTGGAACCTGGTTTCTGTACCAGAGTTTCTTAGAACGAATCTGGTTTGACTTTTTAATGTTAGTTGGAGATCAACAATAGAGTGCAACCATGATAGAATTTCTCCAGCCAACGCCAGCTACTAAATATAGAGATTGTTTCTGCACTGGAATTTTGGATGTTATGTCCATGGGATCACCATTTTAGAGCTTCAAATCATGTATTAGAACAGTGTTATACAGTTCCCTGTATTACTTTATCAGCTAAACATAGTTGAATAATGATATTGCTAGTGTTTAGCACAATGAATGTAAACTCATAATTCTTTTTCTTAAGAGTACTATGAAAGGGTGAGTTGTTTGGTTGAAAAGTTTAATGAGTTATTTGATGAGTTCTTTTTTGTTGGAGATTGGTGTGGGTGTGGAGGACTCCACTATCTAGATGCACAGCTATGTATTTTCCATCTGACAACTACCTTTAATTTGAGTGGGCTTACTGCTCTTTTGGTTAAGAAAAAAAGGATGGTTCTTGCAGCAATTTAATCAAGTTGAAAACCTATTCTTGGTGTTTTGTGCCCATAATGTATACTCCAAAATGCTACTGCCCCAAAATAATTTGTTAAAAAATTGTAGAATCCTGACTACAACAGTGTGTGTGATAGTGTTGATATCTTAACCATAAGGTATTTCTGATACTGTTTACTAGCAAATGATTTCCATTTTAGCTTACTCCAAATAATGTGGCTATAACCTCCCACTTCAGGAACTCAATTAGATAGAGAGTATTAATACATTTTTCACTTTCTCTTTATATATTATATGTTACCAATTGATTTCGGAAACTTGATCTGAATGAAAATGATGCAGCCAGAAATTACTGGGCGCACACAAGGACACTGCAGAGTTGCCCCTGGTTAACAAAACTATGATGTACATTGGAAGGCACCGTACAGGTATACCATTGCAAGTTTTGGTTTATACTGTTTCTATTATGCTATTTGGCTGTTTTTACAAGTCTCTTTTCTTGCATTGGGTGGGTGATTTCAGGCTGATTACCTATTACTGTTGGTGAAGAGAAAAATGCATTCGACGAGTCTCAAAGCTGTACTAGCTTGCATTTACCCCCTGCAACTTGGGTTTAATTGTTCGAACTTCAGCCTGAGGATGACAAATGGCCCCGGTTATTTCTGTATATTAGCTTCCAGCTTTCTCTACTTCAGTTCCACTAGCTCATTAGATATGCTGCCGCTCTTTTTCTTAGTTATAGTTGTAAGTAGACACATCGGTTTTGCATGTGGTTGTGGAAAATGGGAAAGCATATGTTATTAAGCTGTTGGATTCCCTCAAAAGGAAAAAGAAAAACGTAAAAATTTCTCTAGTATGTGCAGTTTTCATTGGATAAAACTAGAAATTAGTCATTTTGGTTGCATTATTGAAAGAACCTCATAATCCAATTGTGCTGCCAAAAGGGAAATTATTCATTTTGTCCTTATTTGTCTCATATTTCATTTTCTTTACTTTTCTAGTATTGTCTTTGTATTATGCCTCCATGCTTGTATAAAAAATTTGACTCGTTCAATTGTTTGACCAGCAATGGTTTTTCGTGTTACCTTATCTGTTAAACCTCTGGATGAATAGCATCATGTTTCATATCTCATTCTAATATATGTGTCTAGAAAGATATTTGTCTTCTTTGTTTTTCTGAAAAGACTGAATAGTAAAGTGGTAATATTATTACAGATTAAGAATCTGGACGGTTTATCCTACGCATTTAGTTCAGGATCCTATATTGATAAAAAATAATAATAATAAAAAAAATAAAAATAATAATAATAATAATAATTTATTAGGACCTGCAGTGTTTTATTATTATTTTATTTTATTTTTTTTAAGAATCTGTGGTGTTTTTTAGGACTGGCGGAAATGAGTGTATCCCATGTCCAAGTGTGAATAGAGTGGCATGAATCTGTGGTGTTTCTTAGGACCTAGGACTATATTGGGATGGTATTCCCAATTGATGGTCTGTTTCTGCAAGTGCAGGCTGGGTGCAGTAGAAAACCAACTGGCATGGTAACTGAGAAGAAATTGGCTACCTTGCATAAGGTGTATGTACTAGGTAGTAAGGAGCAGGCTTTTAGCTGATACAGGAGTGGGTGAGATCGAAATTTGGTATGGTACCTTTTGCTCACATGGATAAAATAGTGGATTGATAACTTCAGATTGTCAAATGTGTCTAGGTTGATCTGTTGTGCCCACTAATCTTCGAATTCATTTTAAACTTGTTTTATATCACAGTTAGCATTTCATGCCAGCTCTATATCTTATATAACTCCTACAACATATTATGTGACATGCACGTCCAAGGAAATTGAAGGAATGATGAAGAGAAAGAGGACTAAAATTAAGTTGGAATTCACTCAGCTAGCTATCGAACAATTCTTATATGAAATTAATGATCACAAGAATAACCTCTATCTGCAATCACTGACTATTTTATTCTTCTTCCTTTGTTTTTGCTTTTATGATGCAAAAATTGTCTATGGATATAAGAGCAACTCCAATAGCTTCTTTAAAAGTGGAATACTCTCTATTTTAAAGAGTCAATCTTTAAAATTTTACTCCAAAAGACTCTTTAATTTAACATTTTAAAATAGAGAGTGGGTTAACTCTTCAAATTTGGAGAGCCAAACCTACCTCTTTATAATTTAATGCTTCAAAAGTTTCAACTTCCAATGCACAATTTATTGACTTAATTAAATAATATGGGCATATCTCAATATCTTTTCATTGAATCATTGCAAGGCTATTGGAGCTCTTTAAAGTTAAATGTTAAAAACCATAAATAGAAATTGGGAATGCTAAATTAAATGTTAAAAATAAAGAGGCTATTGGAGCACTTTAAAATTTTTGCTCTTTAAATTTATAGATGCTCTTTAAATTGTAGAATATGCTATTTAAAAGTAAAAAGTCTCTTGTAGATGCTCTAAGTTGTTGCTATAACTACAACTGAATATTCCAATGTTTGGTCTCATCATCTTGACAAAGCGAGAACGATGAATTTGCCGTTCTGTTTCCATATTTGACAATCACCTTATATTCGCCTAAAAATCCTCCGAAGCTAAATGAACCGTGATCATCTGTCTGTCCTTCCAAAACTCCAGTTTGCCACTCCTTCAAGAGGGAGTCAACAATGTTACCAGCTGGAAGGTTTTGAAAACTGTTGTCTGTTAGGCACATCTGGTAACACCCGTAAGGATGTAATGCTGTCCAAAGCATAATTCCTTTGATTGAAGGGTGTGAAAAACCTTCTCTCAACACTGCTTCTAGATATCTGGCCTGCAAATGAGTAACAAATGTAGTTCAGCGTCGACTTGAAATACAAATCTATTGTCTGGCGAGTTCTATATGTCAATTTTAGTACAAAGGCCATCAAGTAATTTGTTTTCTGACCTGTGTTTCGTGATCTAATGTTTTGCTGATATCGATCTCTGTGAGCCAGATGGGAAGTTCTAGGATAGCCAATTTGTCTAGCACTGCTCTGATTAGAGGAGGGTTTGGTACATTAAAGTGGCCCTCGAGGCCAATTCCATCCATTGACACTCCACCTTTCCCAAGTTCTCCTAACCTTGAAATGTAAGCATCAACTGTAGCATTCTGATCATCGCAAGTCTCTAACACATTGAATTCATTCATAAACAACCTTGCAAGTGGGTCTGATTTCTGGGCTGTTTCGAAAAATTGCAGACTAGCATTGGGGCCGAGTCTTTGCTCATAGAAATTGTAGTGAAGCATTTCATTGTCGACATCCCAGTGTATGAACTCATTCTTGTAGTGGTTCATTAAGCTTTGTATTCTAAATTTAACAGCAGTCTGAAGTTCAGGACCTGTGAGATTACGAACCCATGATGGAGTGAAGTTTGGATTCTCCCAGAAAATGTTATGCCCCCTGGCTATGATCTGGTTCCTTCTAACGAATTCTAGCATTTGATCTGGTATTGTATAGTTGACCACTCCGGGTTTAGGTTCAGTGGAGTACCATTTCAGTTCATCTTCAAACACCGCAGCATTGAACCTCTCAATGAACCATTTCTGCCAAAAATGTTGAAGTTAGACTTAGCCTCTAGAATATTAGTCAGTTTCCATACGGTATTCTTAGGCAAAGAAGCCTCGAGTGAATTTTGAATCTTGTATAATGTGCTTACCTGATATGGCAAATTTCCTAAAATTGTTTGTGCTATGGCAGATCCAAATGGAAAATCTCTGGAAATTTGCTCTACAACAATTGTAGCTCCTTGCAGCCTGTTTCCATCAACATCTGCTACGTGTAATATGGCCATTCGTTTTCTTTCCTGATTTTTTAAAATAATATAAGCATAGGCTAAAGTAGTTCACATTATCTGAAATTAACAAAGACAGCTCATCTTCCTTCTATATTTTGTGTTTAATTAGAAAACTTGAACCAAGAATATAGGTAGTCACAGTGTTTATGATTTGTTCTTGGTTTATTCTCCATTGTTGATCAGTGAATGGCTGCAGAGAAGCACTGGATATAGTTATACTAATCTGTCCCCCATCTACATTCTGCATAACATGAGGAAAAAATGTCAAAAGATGCATCAGTAATTTTATTAATTTTTTTCCCCCATAAATTAGCAGATTCATAAAGACTCGTCTACCTGAAAATATATGAGAGCATGACTCGCTGGGGAATCCAAGACAAATCCACCTTTCAGAAATGACCAGCAGCCTAGCTTGGCATTAACAGTTCCCATACAGTTAAACGTATTGTTATCTGTTGTCACTCTTGCCTTTATCACAGCTGAATCTGCACCGTTTATCGTAACCCAACCTGTTGATCACCACCATATATGACAGGATTTGTATTTCGGATTAGTACTGGACTAAAGATATCATTGAATATTTGAAAATCTCACCAAGTGTTTCTGCTGAACTTAACTGGAAAAGGAGTAGATTGTGTTTCCAGTGAGATTGTACAACACAAAAGCAGGGGATTTTAAAGCAGTTCTTGACAAGCTGATGTTATTGTGGATTTGTTGAGCCTGATTCTTGATGATTCCTCCTTTGTAGAGTGGATCCTCTGGCAATAATTTGCACTGATACAGATGAAAGAAGAATAGACTATTTAATGACTTCTTTAGTTCTAGATGGTGTAGAGTAGGAAAAAGAGCTAAAATCTTGTCTATTGTAGTGGAACAATACTATAGAGTATTATGCATACATCTAAGGATGAGAAGAACGGTACAGTGAAGTTACCTTAGTGTAAGCAGTGTAATCATATATGGGGCCATCTGCCAAAAGAAGAAGATGAACCCAAGTCAGCGGCAGTTATTTATGCACTAAATCGCGCACACAGACATGTTGAGAGAGGAAGGGAGAGAGAGAACCATAAGCTGCTAATGGAGATCCCATACGGAGGGAAAATCCCAAGAACAAAATGAATAGATGGTTTTTCATACTTTCTGCTTAAACATTAACTGCAGCAGAAACCTTTATTTCACCTAGTGTTTTACAGTTTTGAAGAACGAATATGGATGACAAGGCTTATAAATAACGACGTGCTACTAGAGAGAATAATGGGACTGAAACAAAAGACATTTCCACGTTTTTACCAGTTATTTAATTCAATCCTGACAGGTGTTTGGAATGTGTAGGGAATTGTAACTTGAACGTTAATTTGCCTAAAACTGTCTTTGTTTTTATTTTAGTTTTGGACTTTGTCCTTTCTTCCACGTTCCTGAATTAACAATTTACAGTTAAATAAATCATATCTCGTCTTTAAAGTTTTAATTGGTTCGTCGAACCTCGTCTGATGATCAAACAAGCTCGTCACCAGAATTCATTCCTTCAATGCTGCTGCTACTACGTTATGCCAATTTTATGGTCATGTATACTTTTTTCTTTGTCTGGCATCAGCACCAGTTTTGTACTTTAGCTCTATGGTTTGCAATTTTTATTCCCTTCAACACAAAGAAATTGCCGTGCCAAATGCGCTAAGATTAATCGTAATGAAATAACCTCTAATTTGTTGTGTAATTTGCTCACATATCGTAAAATGAATACGTTTGTAGGTAGAATTTCAATTCTGTATAATTATACTGGGTACATTGCTTGTTTTATTTCAATTGAATGTTGAAATTCCTGGTTTCTTCACCTTGACTAACAGAGAATGTTGATTTCACTATTTTGTTGCCATACTTGGCTGTCACCTTGTATTCACCCAAGAAAGCAAAGAAACTGTATGAACCGTACTTGTCCGTTTCACCTTCCAAAATCCCGGTTTGCCACTCTTTTAGGAGCTTGTCGACAGTGTCACCTGCCGGCAGGTTATTGAAGTCGTTATCAGTTAGGCACATTTGGTAACAACTGTTTTGGCGGAGGGCCGTCCAGAGTATTATCCCATTGACAGCAGGATGTGAAAAGCCTTCTCTTAAAACTTCTTCTAGATAAATTGCCTGTCCAGAAAACAATGATCAAACTTATAAATTTTGAATTTTTGACAGCATATGCAATGCCAAGTACGAGAATAGTATAATCGAGTCATGCAAAAGAGACACGTAAGTAGGACAGTGTCCCCGGTTTTTGAGCCGGCATGCCTAAATTTATCCGGGATAAAATGGTTTATGTTTTCTGACCTGACTTTCTTTGCTAAATTGTTTGCTGATATCAACTTCTGTTAACCAAATTGGAAGGCCGAGAGTGGCCAATTTGTCAAGGATAGCCCTCATGAGAGGAGGGTTTGGTACATCAAAATGGCCCTGAAGTCCAATTCCATCCATTGTTACACCACCTTGCTTTAGCTCTGTCATTCTTGATATGTACGTATCCACTGTGGAATTGACATCATTGCAAGTTTCCACCACATTATATTCATTCATGAAAAGTGTGGCTAATGGATCTATTTGATGAGCCTTCTCAAAAAACTGCAGGGTGGCGTTCGGCCCAAGCCGTTGCTCATAAAAGTCAAAATGAAGCATTTCATTACTAACATCCCAGTGAATGAATTCTTCTTTGTATCTGCTCATTAGACTTTGTATTCTGGAGGAGACAGCAGATTGCAGTTCAAGACTTGTTAGGTTAAGAATCCATTGTGGTGATGACTTGGGGTTCTCCCAGAAGATATTGTGGCCTCTCGTGATTATCTGATTTGCTCGAACAAATTCGAGCATCTGGTCAGGTATCGTGTAGTTAACATGCCCCGGCTTGGGTTCTGTTGCATCCCACTTGAGCTCATTTTCGAAAACTGCTGCATTGAATCTTTCTGTAAACCATTTCTGAAAAAATAAGGGAACTAATTTGATGAGCTTGGGATAGAGTATTTGCATTGCAAACTAGCAGGATTTTAAAGTTTGATGACACCAATATGAAACCTTGCTATAAAGTGAATGATATCTTGTGCTTATAAGAACCATACAGACCTGATAGCGTGAATTTCCGATGATAGTCTTAGCTATAGCAGATCCAAATGGGAAATCTTTTGAAACTTGCTCTACTGTAATTTCGGCCCCTGGCAATTTGGCTCCCTGCCTGTCTGATACATGGATTATAACTGCACGCTTCCTTTCCTGAATTAGATAAGGAGCACGATGTCAGAGCCTCAGAGGTTTCAAGGTATAAATGTTTCACTACAGAATCTTCTCCGATTGATGATGGATAAGGGGAATCTGGGTTATCTTCATGTTCTTGTGTTCTCTTCTTCATTATACTAAGCAAGTCTTTAGTATTGAAAACTGGTCTACCTTGTAGATTTTAGTCTGCTGATTCAACGGCTTGGGTTCTGTTGCATCCCACTTGAGCTCATTTTCGAAAACTGCTGCATTGAATCTTTCTGTAAACCATTTCTGAAAAAATAAGGGAACTAATTTGATGAGCTTGGGATAGAGTATTTGCATTGCAAACTAGCAGGATTTTAAAGTTTGATGACACCAATATGAAACCTTGCTATAAAGTGAATGATATCTTGTGCTTATAAGAACCATACAGACCTGATAGCGTGAATTTCCGATGATAGTCTTAGCTATAGCAGATCCAAATGGGAAATCTTTTGAAACTTGCTCTACTGTAATTTCGGCCCCTGGCAATTTGGCTCCCTGCCTGTCTGATACATGGATTATAACTGCACGCTTCCTTTCCTGAATTAGATAAGGAGCACGATGTCAGAGCCTCAGAGGTTTCAAGGTATAAATGTTTCACTACAGAATCTTCTCCGATTGATGATGGATAAGGGGAATCTGGGTTATCTTCATGTTCTTGTGTTCTCTTCTTCATTATACTAAGCAAGTCTTTAGTATTGAAAACTGGTCTACCTTGTAGATTTTAGTCTGCTGATTCAACCTCCATTGCTCTGCAGTGAATGGCTGCAGAGAAGCGCTTGCAATCTCTATGTCGAGATCTCTGCCAGCTGAATCCTGTTAAACCGAAGAGCAGGAAGGTTTAAATGAAAACGCAAGTCTAATGTTTTTTAACTTGTATTTCTAATTCTGAAAAATTATTACTCCTACCTGAAGATTTAACTCAGATAATTTTGATGATGATGTCAATACAAATCCACCCTTGAGAAATGACCAGCAACCTTGCTTGGCTATAACGGTTCCTATGCAACTTAGGGTAGTTTCTTCTGTCATAAGACTAGCCCTTATGAGAGCTGAATCTGCATTGTTTATCTTGATCCATACTGTTCTCATTCAGTTCCTTTCCTGAATTAGATAAGGAGCACGATGTCAGAGCCTCAGAGGTTTCAAGGTATAAATGTTTCACTACAGAATCTTCTCCGATTGATGATGGATAAGGGGAATCTGGGTTATCTTCATGTTCTTGTGTTCTCTTCTTCATTATACTAAGCAAGTCTTTAGTATTGAAAACTTGTCTACCTTGTAGATTTTAGTCTGCTGATTCAAACTCCATTGCTCTGCAGTGAATGGCTGCAGAGAAGCGCTTGCAATCTCTATGTCGAGATCTCTGCCAGCTGAATCCTGTTAAACCGAAGAGCAGGAAGGTTTAAATGAAAACGCAAGTCTAATGTTTTTTAACTTGTATTTCTAATTCTGAAAAATTATTACTCCTACCTGAAGATTTAACTCAGATAATTTTGATGATGATGTCAATACAAATCCACCCTTGAGAAATGACCAGCAACCTTGCTTGGCTATAACGGCTCCTATGCAACTTAGGGTAGTTTCTTCTGTCATAAGACTAGCCCTTATGAGAGCTGAATCTGCATTGTTTATCTTGATCCATACTGTTCTCATTCAGTTGTAGCTTAGTTATTTAAGTAACTGTGATATGAAAATGTTTGAATGAAACCGAACAAGGTAAATATACCTGAAAAACAATATCTGTTGCCCACGGTGAGGTTTTGCAACAAAAATGTCGGGTAAGAAACTTGATCTCCATTATCCATAATACTTCGTAGGAAACTCGGAACTTGATCTTTGAGGATTCCACCGTTGTAAAGTGGCTCCTCAGGGTGCAGTTTACACTGCACAGTATTAGGACAGAGAAAGTTAAAATCCTTGTTCACTAAATGGTATATACTGATTGAAAGAAGAATAGCCTGCTTTTGCACTTACTTGTGTATAAGCAGAAGAGTCGTAAAGCGGCCCATCTGCAATAAACACGTCGTAAATGAAAAAGAAAATTCTAAAAAGCCACATAGAAAGAGGGGAAGAGAGTACCATAGCACAAAACCAGGCAACTGCTAAAGAAGAGGAGCAACAACAGAGAGCTAAAGAATGTAAGGTACTGCATGCTCTTTGATTATCTGCTTAAAATTCTGAGTTGCAGAAACACCCGATTCGGCTTAAACTCAGCCACACACAAAACCTAGGCAGGGCTTGGCATCACAAGAGAAACAGTAATGTGTTTCTGAGAAAAACTGCGTCAATTCACATACTGATATGGGCTACTTCCATAGTTTATATACAAGACATTGCAGCAATTTTTTCTTTATAAGCAGAAATTCTCTGGCTGATAGTTAATTTAACTGCAGTTGACAAAATCTGCTCCTCAAGTAATTTTCACACGTGACACGTACTGCCAACTTGATTTAAGATTAAACAAAATCCCCAGAAATTACATGCATAAAGTAATGATCTTGGACTTAAGGGTGTTTGGCTAAGCTTAACAGTAAGTAAAGATAAAGTAAGATTTTATACTGAACTTTTAAGAAACCTCAAACATTGCTGGCAAAAATAGTTAAAAAGTAACTTTGAAGCTTAGCGAAACATGATCTTTGTGTGAAGTAATATGAAAATGTCAGAATCTAGAATAATAAGGAAATACCGTAACGTTTAAGGATATACATTAACAATTTTGTGTCACTTTTTCAGTTAAAATTTGGAACTGAAAAAGCCTATTCCCAAAACTTAATTATCAATTCATTCTCGTGACTGCCTGAACAAGTCAAGAATGTACCTTTGGCGGCATGTGAGTTGGCATCCGCACAACATAAGACACTTAAAAAGGCAATTCGCTCGGTTCCAAGGTGATGTGTTTTCAGAAATTAAATAATTTATTATTATTATTATTATTATTTTTTTTTTTTGTTGATAATATGTGGGTCTATAATATGTTTTGAGGGACGTTTTTAATAAGTAAAATGGCATTGTCAACATTTTGTGGTCTAATACAGCATGTCAAACGTAGACTGAAAGAAGTGCGGGAATAAGAGTGGCATCTCGTAAAGCGAATTTTGATATGTTGGGGAAAGGGATAGAAATCATGAAAGTATATGCCTTCATTTCTAAATGTTGGGTTGCAGATTTTGTACGAGAGAGTGGTGGTAGTGCTAGTTAGGCGTGGGGGAGAAGTGCACAATGGATGGACCATTGTGAATCCAAAATTGGTGAATGGCTAAAAAATCTAGAAGAATTGAGAGCACGAGACAAGGCTAAATCTCGAGCGATATTGTACCTGGAATTAGAGACGGATTTAGGGGGGGCTGGGCTGTACCTCCCGCCCCCCGGGCGAGGCCCAAGAGCCTTTTTTTTTTTTTTTTTTTTTTTTTTTTTTGGGGGTAATAAACCAATTTTTTATGTGTAAAAATTTTTTCCCCCATAATAGTCCGGTTTGAAATTTTGTAACCCGACTTTAGATCCAATCTTGAATACGTCCCTACATAGAATAATGTCATGTAGAAAAGAATACAAGTGACTCCTCTATAACAACTTTTAACTTTTTGCTCGTGCACCAAGTTATTCAGTTTGGACCCAAATTGTGTGGAAATAACGTGTGGCCCTGCCAATCGTTGCCTTGTTGGTTACACTAAATAGTAATGAATGAAAAAGACACAAATAGCAAGAAAATGAGTCCCAATAAGTTGGTGGAGGAAATTGTTGAGAAAATTTGTGTTCATCCAATGAATGAAAAATATATTTTGTATAAAGTATAAAAAAAAAAAAAGATCTAATTGTTCATTTTCTAAATTTAGAATGAACAGCGTTTAAAATTGTAGAGTAAGAAGCAATAGAGATGAGAATTGATATATTCGAAGCTAGTTTCGCTTTAAAAAGTCGACTCATGTTGAAACTACTTGACTAAAATGGAGCTCGATAAAAGTTCCCACATTTGATCTCCTTACATTCAACCCAAAATACAATTAACCGTTTCAACTTCGACTACTATCACTAAAAATTCTACTCAAATCAACTTGTCAAGTCCTTTTCTTGAATGCACTCTATCAAAGGATCCTTTGTTTTTTTTTTTTTTTTGAAAGGTAATCAAATATTTTATTAATCAATAAAAAATATACAGAAAGTGTATTAATCAAATAATTTGATAGGGGTGATTGTGATTGTGCAATAGAAGGTGTTGGAGAAAGAAATGAACAGAAGTCTTTTGGGATTTTCACTGAATTTATTCAATATGAAAGGTAAACTGGGAATTAGAAATGAAACGTGATAAACCAGCACTTTGAGAAGCTGGGAATTCTCCACTACAGAAATTAGTAAATTCTTGATACCTCTACAATTCTTCTACACCCTTACATATAACCCTTCCCGTAACTAATCTAACTAACCTGCTAACAAATTCAAAACAACTTATTATAGCAGAATAAGTGGGCCCCAAATTAATTTCTAGAAGATTCTGTGCCCATTGACATTTTAGGTCACTCCTTGGTGCAATTGTTTCTCTCCTTGTGTCTAGTGTAGGTGAATCTGATCGGGGGCTTATCAAATACCCCCCTCCATTGTAGCCACCTTGTCGTCAAGGTGGAAAGTAGGAAATTGCTGATTGATCAGGTCGAATGATTTTCATGTTGCTTCTATTGGTGATAAACCTTTCCATTGAATTAAGACTTCCATTCCTACTGATGTCTTCTCATGATGTGGCCTGTATCCAAGTACAAACTCTGGTTCCACTAGCATTTCCGAGTCTTCTCCCAGCTGTAGCGGCAATGGTGAGACAATATGTGCATCTTCGACAACCTTTCTCAGTTGAGACACAGGGAATACCGGGTGAACATGAGTGTTTGCTGGTAATGCTAGTCGATATGCTACCTGATCCACTTTTGCCAATACTTCAAAGGGACTGAAGTACCTTGGGGCCAATTTTTCATGGGATCGAGCAACCAGCGACTGGCGTCTATATGGTCTCATTTTCACATACACCCAATCCCCCTTATCAAAGACCACAGCCCTGCGATGTTTCTCAGTTGATAACTTCATCTGTTGTTGAGCTCAATGTAGGTGCACTTTTAATTCCTCCAATACTTGATCTCGTTCCAACATTTGCTATTCAAGGGACGAGATAGCTGTGGTCCCCTTATCAAATCATATCAATGGAGGAGGATCACGCCCATAAAGTATTCGAAATGGGGCGAGTTGCGCCGATACATGGAAAGAGGTGTTACAGGAATATTCAGCCCAACGAAGGAAGTGGTACCATTTGTGAGGCTGAACTGAGGCAAAGCACCTTAGATATGTTTCCACCCCCCTGTTTGTTGACGACCTTTGACTGTTCATCTATCTGGGGATGATAGGCAGAGCTGTATCTTAGTTTAGTCCCCTGCAACTTGAAGAGTTCATTCCAGAATTGACTCAAAAATACCTTATCACGATCGGACACAATGGAACGAGGGAACCCATCCAGTCGGGCTACCTCCTTGATAAAAGCAACTGCCACGGTTGGGGTTGTGAAGGGGTGTTTCAACCCAATGAAGTGTGCATATTTACTCAAGCGATCAACCACAACCATAATTGAATCGAACCCCTCTGATCTTGGCAATCTAGGTTGAAGCAACCCAACTGGGGCCAGGGTGGAATATTTGTGTTGTTGACAGACCGCACAAGCTGCCACATACGCCATAATGTCCTTCTTCATCCCCTTCCAATACACACTCTCAGCTATTCGCTGGAATGTTTTTAAAAACCCTTCATGCCCTACTGTTTTATTAACATGGCCTTCATGTAATGCTATCTTAACCAAGGAGGAATCTTTGGGCAACACTAACCTGTCATTGTAAAGCAAGTTTCCATGGACCAAGGTGTAGCCTGCGGGGCCTATGTGACCACTACGCAGGGTGGTCACAATTGTCCTTAATTCAGCATCCTCTTCGATTGCCCTCAGTACCTTGCGAAGCTGAATTACACTGGAAACACTCATAGCCATTAGAGTGGCATCATCCATTTGGGAGAGAGCATCAGCCACCTTATTTTCCAGCCCCGGTTTGTATTCAATGTCAAAGTCGAATCCTAAGAGCTTGGTTAGCCACTTCTGATATTCCATATTCACTTCCTGTTGCTCCAACAGAAATTTGAGGCTGCGCTGATCTGTCCGCACCACAAATTTTCGCCCAATAAATAATGCCTCCATTTTTGCACAGTTAACACGATGGCCATGAGCTCCCATTCGTAAATGGACTTACTTCAAACCTGTGGTGG